TGTGTGTGTGTGTGTGTGTGTGTGTGTGTGTGTGTGTGTGTGTGTGTTGCTCACCACTTACCTTCTGGGCACATTATTTATTACAGGTGCATGGTTCTAGGAAGAGAGAAAAACACATGTAGTGACAAGGTAGTTCAGATGAGATTGGCTGCTCTGAAGTTGTAAGCAGAGTGGGGCAGCTTTTGGGACATACAATTACTATCAGTCAGAGATTTTCACTTTATGTTTTCTCTGTATGTACTATTTGTATAAAGAAAAGCAATTAGCACTTTTCTACTCAGGAAATATTCCAAGCAGATAGCCTCAACAGCCAGAAAATCACCTTGTATCAGTTAGATAGTGTTTAAAGTGCAGGAACAGGTCATTCGGCCTGACTAATCCATCCCATTGTTTATGGTCAACACGAGCCTCTGGCTGTCCTTTGTTATCACATCATCCGTGCAGTCTCCACTCCTTTCTCTGTAATGTATTTATCCAGCTTCAAATGTAGATGCCTCTACGTTACATTTGCTGGCGTATTGGTGACTATTCTATCTCAATATTTAGGTTTGGTCTCCCTATCAGGTATAACAATCACCATTGGGAAACCACAGGCAATTCCTCTGTCATATGGAGCCAACAGGTGAAAACTGCCTGCCTCCACAGTAAAGGTTCTTTTTTAGAATGATTGTGGGGGTGAAATTATTCTTTCTGCATCTTCTCTCCCCAAGTAATAACCTGTCCCTTCAGCTACAGAGGACTAAACACATCCTCCCTGATCTCTGTCAATGTCAATCAGTAGGGCAAGTCTGGCCTGCTGGCTGGCTCAGTCTGATATTTTTGTCCTGCTCTCTCTATGGGGACTTGTCTGGTCTGGGTTCAACAATTCCTACCCTATAATGTACCCTTTCTGAGTACGAGATCATTTTCCTGGCATTGTCAGTGGTCCAACATACTGTACCCTTACACTGGGAAAAAAGGGTGCCCTTGAATGACAGTGGACCACTTACACTTCTCGAAATAAAGTGCTTAGTATAAACCTTACTAAGCGCGAGTTGACTGCCATCTTTCCTATGTTACATCAATGACTAAAACACAACAAAAGAAGTACTGAACTCCCCTTTGAAACGTGGAACATATGGTTTTAGGAGGCACTTTATAAGTGCAGGTTCTGCCATTTGTTTTACAGGACAGTCATTGGAAATCTTGAGTAATTCATTGCATGAAGGACTTAGGTTCTTAAAATGTGACAAGGTGTTAATATAAACATAAACACTTCTCTAAATCTATGAATTTTATGTTCATTATTTTCATTATTGCATTTTTACAAGTTTGATTAAAACAAGTGCATAAGGCAAATTGAATATTATGAAATTCTGATATATACCTTCAGAGCCAGAAATTCTGAACTATGAGCACTAAAGCTGCCATTTTAATTCCTTTATCTTGACTTCAACATGCATCGATTGCATAGATGCATGAACAGCCCGACTGGTAGCTAACACAGTATAAGAATTTCTGCCCTTAAATAAAACAATATCTGTCCCACACTGTAACAATTATTGAAATAAGTTGAGAGAGGCCGGTATCCTGTCACCAGGTCACACTTTATTTACACATGGAGAATCCTTGACACCGATCCAGCTCCCTCAGAGCCAGCTCTCAGAGTGAACAGAATATCTGACACTTCTGATCTGACTTCTGTTTATAACTGTCAGCCAGGGCTCCCTGACTGGACCAGATTAACAGCCCCAATCAGGGAACTCATATTCTATGAGGTTTACCTGGCTGACCTCATTACAATCACAACAGTTATCTTTCTTATTGTCATATTCTCACACTCCTGAGTTTAATGCTTACCTACAGAGTGCTTAGCAACAGTTCGTATTGCACCATATTGGACCTCAGGATTTTCAAGCAGCAGCACCTGACAATTATCATGTATCAACGTATTCTGGAAAGGAATGATCACAGAAATTATCATTCTCATTTATATCACATTATATTTTAAATTTGCTCTAATTCTTTATGGAGAAAATTTACTAAACACTGAACTGAAGCAATTATATTATACAGTCATAAAGTCATACAGCACAGAAACAAGCTCTTTGGTCCAACTAGTCCATGCTGACCAAGTTTCCCAAACTAAACTAGTCCCACTTGCCTGCATTTGGCCCATATCCCTTTAACCCTTTCCTATTCATGTCCCCATCCAAATGTCTATTAAACATTGCAACTAGTTTACTGAAGTTTTTCGATTCTACTTTAAGAATATTTTTTCTTTCTGTAAATATTTCTAATGTTATGTCCTGTCCCCATCACAGTGGGGATGAAGAAATTATTGCCAGGCCTTGCCAATGCGGTTGTGCGTTCACAAAAACTTCTATTTTATAATGTACTTAATGTGAAAAAAAATGTTCCAAATAGCATCACAGAAGCATAATCCGACAAAATTTGATGCTCAGGCAAAAAAAAACCCCGAAATGTTCGGACAGTGACTAAAATCTTCGTTGGTGTTAAGGAGCAGTTTAAACGAAAGAGCCTGTGGAATTCTCTGCCACAGGAAGCAGTTGAGGCCAAAACATTGAATGTTTTCATGAAGGAGATACATATAGTTCTTAGGGCTAAAGGGATCAAAGTGTATGGAAAGAAAGCTGGAGCAAGGAATGGATTTGGATGATCAGCCATGATCATTATGAATGGTGAAGCAGGCTGAAAGATTGGCCTTCTCCTGTTCCTATTTTCTATGTTTTCCTAATTCATGACAGTCTACAAGGCCTGGGTGATTGAAACAAAAACTGCCAATAGTGGGGTGTGGGAACTGAGGAGTCCACAAGGAATCAGAGTTTTAGGAATGCCAGGTTGGCAGACAGTTTTCGGGCTAACGGAGGTTTCAGAACTCGGGAGGGGAAAGATGGTGTGGAGCGAATTGAATATGAGGAATGAGAATTCGAAATTAGAAGCTTTGGAGGTCCTGTACGACAGTGAGCTGAGGAACCCAGGCACTTACATTTTGGATAAACTGAAGCTTATAGAGGGGCGAGATATCTACATAAGCACATCTTCCTAAAGATGTAAAGTCTACCTGTGGTGGAACTATGTTATGTCAATAAAAGTCATTCTTTCTTTGTTTGAACCCTTTTCTCTCCAAGGACTAAATGCAGCACAGATGTACTGACTCTGTAATGGATTTGTCATTTTGTAATCTCCTGAAGAAATGCTCACAAATGTCTGTGGACACAGCTTCCTGAGTCACACAGTTTTGCAAAGATACTCTCAAAGGCAATGGGAAGGACGATTTCTGAACGGATCCACTTCTATGTCTTCAAACGGCTCTCCTATGTTACTCAGACTGTATTACATAGGTCTAATTTCACAGGCTCTGTGCAGGTGGGAAATCAGATGGGGTACCCTTTTATCAGTGTGCAACCCACTAGAAACTCCAGTGAGTGACAGGGGTAGCATCAACTGAGGTTCAGTTCAGTGCCCCATTTGGCCACTTCTCCAATTTAAGCGGCAGAATAGACTCAAAGTGCAGCCCAACAGGTTCTTCTTGGGCACTCTGTTCCAATTTGCGTGCAGCCTGGCATCTCGCACTCATTCCTACTCACAGTTTCACTACCGCACGTTCACCCTCACTCCCTGAGGAGTGAGACTTCTTCCTGGAGGTCGTGGAAGAATCTGTTCCTCCCCTATTAAAGGGCGTGCACCTGCCTCCAGGAAGAAGTCTCATCTCCTAGAGCTGCTGGGCTGAGGTGGCTAATTGGAGATGGGCTCATTCCTGAAATTCAGCCCTGTTTTTTTGCCACCTCATCGAATGCTCCCAGGTTAGAACTCACGGCTCAAAACTGGCCATTCACAAATCGTAACAGGTCCCATACCAGTATCTCATCGCATGCAAAATAACACTTTCACTGTATCTCGGTACATGTGACAACGATAAATCAAATTCAAACTCAATCCTTGCTGACCTCCAATGATTACCTTTCTAGGAACACATTCAATCTAAACTCCTTATCCCCAACATTCAGATTGCCAAATTCCCCACAATTAACAGCATAGAAACACTTTACACAGAAATGCACAGAATGAGAAGCATAGGTTTGGGAGCCTGGGCAAACCAATTTTGCCCAATTGGCATAAGGAAACGTAAGGCAAGTGCTTTATATTAGAACTTGAAATGCAAATATAAGTATTTCTAAAAGGAAGGTATGTACAGCACATTCAACATTGTGCCATTGAGAGTACCTACCTTCATATAATGAATCATCTGGATGGTAAAATCATCCTTGGACGTTTTCATAATCAGACAATTTCCCATGTTGGAGGTAGTGTTGTGAAGATCGAGAACAAAGTCATAGGCATTCTCACTGCCTTTTGGTCCAAATAAATGGTTTATCTCCTGGGCTCTTTTAACTTCATAAGGCATCGAGTCACTCAATGGCATGCTGTTGTGTGTAAAGTTTTTATTTGAATGTTAATAATATAATTAAAAATCAGCTAGATTTTGAACACAGAGTCACGAGCATGGAAACAGACCCTTCGGTTCAATTTTTTCGCACTGGTCAGACATCCCAATTCGACCTAGTCCCGTTTACCAGCATTTGGCCCCTATACCTCTAAACGCTTCCTATTCACATACTCATCCAATATGAGAACACAGGAACAATATAGAGCTATTTAGCCTGTTCTGTCATTCAGTAGGATCATGGCTGATCTGTGACTAAACTCTTATACCCGCCTTCACTCTGTACTGCTTCATACCTTTTCTTAACAAAATCTACAAGTCTTGTTAATTGTATAAATTAGGGAAAAGGATAAACAGGTGGAGGATATTCTGTATTGAACCACACATAAAGAGTCACTCATTGATATTTGTGTGGTGAGTAGGGTCAGGGGATACACACTTGTAATGTTTCACTCTGTGAATAAATCTAAACAGAGTAAAGATTGAAGAAGGGTCCCGGCCCAAGTCGTCAACTTTCCTGCTCCTCTGATGCTGCCTGGCCTGCTGTGTTCCTCCAGCTCCACACTGTGTTGTCAATGTAAAGATTGACGTCTGGACTCCATCAGCAAATAGGCTATATAGGTTTAACAAATCCTATTTTAGTTAAAATAACAACTGCCATTTGTGATTGAAAGCTCCAAACTTCCAACACCCTTTCTGTGTAGAACTGTCTCCTGTTTTCACACCTGAAAGATCAGACTCTGGGTTTTATTATATGCCCCATTGACCTTGACTCCCAAAGAAGGTGAAATAGTTGCTATCTACTTGATTTATTTCCCTCAGGCCTTAAAACCATAATTAATATATTCCAAAACCTTCTCATTTGCAAAGAATAGAACCTTACCTTGTTTGCTGTCATCTACTTAGCTCAAAGGCCAGTATATCCTTCCTATCCTATGAGATGCTGAGCATTTCTATATGTATTTCAGGGTGATCTAACTGGGGCTTTGCATAGTTGAAGCACGACTTTTGCCCCTTTGGATTCTAGCCCTCTAGATATAAAGGCCAGACTTCCAATGGCCTTTCTAGTTATTTTCTATACCTGTAGTACTGCCATAATCTATCATACCACAACTATTCACCATGGTCCGTAAGCAGAGCAAGAGGGGCAGATACATCAATGTAGTGATTTGCATTGTTTCATCCTCATGTGCTCCGGGGGAAAAGATGAATTATTGTTACAAAAACAGAAATTGCTGGCGAAACTCAGGAGGTCTGGCAGCATCTGTGGGGAGAAAGCAGAGTTATTGTTTTGAGTCCTCTGACCCTTCATCAGAACTTGAGTTCTCTTCATCACTCTTGACTCCATCATTCTTCACTTTGTAAAGATGAGTTGTATTGAAATTGAAACATTAACTTTGTTTCTTTCTCCTCAGATGCTGCTGCCAACAGACTGAGGTTCTCCAGCAATTTTTGTCTTTGTTGTGGAATATCTTCATATGTCTGTGTCAACCAAACAACACCATCGCGCGCAATATATTTCATCTGCCACAATATGTATCTTAAACTCAGTGTCAGAACAGCACCAGTGGCATGTGCATTTCCCTCTTTGGACATTTGGCTGACTGAGATCGCTAATCTGAACAAAACAGGCTCTATACAAATTCTCAGCAGTGATCAAATGTAATTGAAACCAGATATAAAAACAGAAAATTCTGGTGAGAAAGTCAGCGGGTCAAGTTTTGAACAAAACCAGTTTCAATGAAGAGTCATACTGGACTGAAACGTTAACTCTGCCTCTCTCTCCACAGACACTGCCAGACTTGCTGTGATTCTCCTGCACTTTCTGTTTCCGTTTCAGATTTCCAGCACTTGTAATGTTTTGCTTTTAGTTGATACCAGACTATAGAAACAACATAAAGATTTGCTCAAGTACAGGGAGGGGATAATTTTTACTTAACAAGTTCGGACAGGTGATAGCAAATTGGCAGCACATTTTAAATCTTTCCCAATTTCTTCTAACTTTGCCTTCAGATTTTAAGCAGTGAGTTGTTACTGCTTTATTTGGTGGTAGAAGCAGATACGATAGTAAATTTCAAAAGGTCACTGGATAAATAACAGAAAACAAAGAATTTTCAGCACTACGGGGAATGAACAAGCAGTGGGCCTATTTCAACAGAATTAATTCAACAGTAACTCTTTCTGTGCTATACAGATTGTATTGTATCTCTTGCTGCCAATTCCTTTCCATTCATTCAGATGTACAGTTTTTGACCAGCCTGCTGCACTCTGCTTTTGTAAGTGTTACATCAAATTAGCTACTTGGCTGCTCGATTGCAGAATACATCTAAATCTAAATACGTAAGTGCACTTGCTCTCCTTATTCTTGTAGCATCAGCAAATACCGTTGGCCACAGTTAGTTTCGATCTCCAGGGCACTAGTGTAAATTAAAAACTACTGTGTTGAAACACTAATTCACAAAGAATTCTCCTAAATGTTTCTTTTGAATAGCTCTCTACTTATTGATGTCCACGTTCCAGTTTTTTTTTTTGCTTTTAATTCAATTAGAAATCAATCCATTGCCCAAGTTATTTGATGATCCAAAAAGAACATATCCGAGATTCCCGCTATCTACCTTATCTGTTGCAACTACAAAGTAATCAAAGACAGGATATTGTCCTTTCATCTCCATACCGGGTGTTTTGAATTAAGTTAATGCGATGCAGAATAGTTTTCTTTATTTTGCTTAGCATTAGTGTTTGCTGCTGGGCCTGTTGTTATTTGGATCAAATTCATTGTCCTTTTTAAAAATTAGTACCATGATTGCTTGCTTCCAAAAATGTGGAATCTATGAAAGTGCAGTGATCCCTTCATGTTAGCAACAGACATCTCACAGATTTCATCCTAAATGCCTTTTGACATTCCTTGTCCAGTGAAATTTTCCACACTTCTTCAACAAGTCAGTCAGTGGAGCAACCACGCTGCTAAAATTCAGTAGGAATTTTCGAGAAAAACCACTCAGTCCCTGGAATCGTAGTACTTCCCTCTTCGTCGATGGTATGGGAAACTCCCCCATAACCTTTCTTTTCTCATCCCGTTAAGGTCATAGGTCCGTGTCCAATGACATGGACCAGGAAAATGGGTTGGGCATTTGCCAGGTTTATCACCAAGCCCGCATCCGGAAGTCAGTCAAACAATTCCGATAGATGTTACAAATGTTTCTTCCATGTGTGACCAAAAATCACCACATCTTTGTTGTACACCACACAATTAAGTAATCCAGAAATGAATTTATTGGTTAGTCTTTGAAATATGGCTAGCATATTTTTCATAGCAATGGCATGATTTTAAACTGGTACAATCCATTTGGCATCATGAAAGCCAAAATTTCCTTCACTCTTTCAGATACCTGCCAGTATCCTCTGAGTCAGTCCCACTTAAAAATATAAATTGATGGTCCCACCTTCTCAATACAGCCTTTCAAATGTGGAATAGGATATGAATCAGATATTCTTACTGTATTGACTTTGCGATAATCCACACATAATCGTTGGGTACCATCTGGTTTTGGCACCATTACTATGGGTGAGCTCTAGTCACTGCAACTCACTTCGATTATGTTGTCTTTGAGCATGCGTTCAATCTCCTTTTGAACCTGTGCCAACTTTACAGGGTTAAGTCTATAAGGATGATGTTTAATTGGAACAGCATTTCCTATATCTATATCATACATAATTAGATTAGTATTTCGTAGCTTATTCCCATATATCTTCCCATGTGATTATAATAACTCTTTCAGGTTATTTTGACTTTCTTCTGGAAGGTAACTCAATAATTTATCCCAATTTTTGAGAACTTCCCAATTGTCCAATTGAAATAGAGGAATGCCCAACTCAGAATTATCTGAACTTGGTTCTTTCACTCTGTGTTGTAACGGTTCACACATTCGCTTTTTGCTTTCCTTCCCTATCAAAATACCTTTTGAGCATATTCACATGATACACTGTGAGATTTTGAGTATATTCACATGGTAAACTATGAGATTTCTTTCTGTCTGGCACTCTTATCAAATAATTTACGTCACTCAATTTCCTTTTGATTTGTTAAGGCTGACTAAACCTTGACTTTAAGGGTTCACCTATCCCTCGGAGAAACATTAACACTTTATTACAAAATTATGAACTTTTTTTATCTCCTTTCTGCTTCCTTTCTCATCTGGGCTACTTTCAAATGCTATCTAGTCAACTTACCCGCTGTATTTAATCTCTTCCTAAAATTTGACACATAGTCCAAATATGTGGTGAATGAACTCTGAATCACCAATTTCTCCTTAACTAATATCAGCAGTCCCTGTACCTCATGCCCAAAAATGAATTTAAATGGACTGAATTTAGTTGATTCATTAGGTGCATCCCTAATTGCAAAAAGTACAAATGGAATTCCTTTATCCCAATCCTCTGGACAGTTTTGACTATAAGCCCTCAGCATGGTCTTTAAAGTTTGATGCCACCATTCTAATGCTCTTACAATTACAGATGGTATGCAATGGATTTGAATTGTTTTATTCTTAAGCTATCCATAATTCCTTGAATAACTTGGATGTAAAATTTGACCCTTGATCCAAATGTATTTCTGTGGGTAGCCCAATCTAGTGAAAAATTTGAGTAATTGGTTTACAATCCTTTTAGCCATGATATTGCGCAATGGAATGGCCTCTGGAAATCTAGTAGACGCATCCATTATGGTCAACAAATACTAATTCCCACTTTTTGTTTCAGGTAGGAGTCCTATGCAATCAATTAAGATTCTTGTAAAAGGTTCCTCAAATGCGGGAATGGGTATTAAGGATGCTGGTTTTATCATTGCCTAAGGTTTTCCAATTACCTGACCCATATGACATGTCTGGCAAAAATCAATTGCAACCCTATGCAGTCCAGGCCAATAAAAATGATTTTGTATTTTGGTCCGAGTTTTCCTTACACCCAAATGACCTCCTACTG